CAACCTGATCGGTGTCCCACCTGAGAGGGGAACCAACCGGATCGGTGTCCCACCTGAGAGGGGAACCAACCGGATCGGTGTCCCACCTGAGAGGGGAACCAACCTGATCGGTGTCCCACCTGAGAGGGGAACCAACCTGATCGGTGTCCCACCTGAGAGGGGAACCAACCTGATCGGTGTCCCACCTGAGAGGGGAACCAACCTGATCGGTGTCCCACCTGAGAGGGGAACCAACCTGATCGGTGTCCCTGCTTAGAGGGGAACCAACCGGATCGGTGTCCCTGCTTAGAGGGGAACCAACCGGATCGGTGTCCCACCTGAGAGGGGAACCAACCTGATCGGTGTCCCTGCTTAGAGGGGAACCAACCGGATCGGTGTCCCTGCTTAGAGGGGAACCAACCTGATCGGTGTCCCTGCTTAGAGGGGAACCAACCTGATTGGTCTCCCTGCCTGCTCATCCATCACTGGGGAACAGAAGGAGGAGTTGTTGTTTTTGTTGCAGAGGTACCCTTTAACCTGGTCCTGGAACACCCCTGTTCTATCAGCCAGCCCCAGAAGCAGAGTGCTCTCTCTGGGCCTGTGGTCACTCTAAGATCCTGGTTGTGTTTTGGAGCCTGGTTCTTCTACCAGCTTTGTAAACTGCTGAAACTGGGGCGCGATTCATGGGATGCAACCATGTCGGATCTCAGTGAGCGCAGGCCGGTCAACACGGACTACGCTGTCTCCCTGTTGGAGCAGCTGAAGTTCTTCTATGAACAGAAGTTACTGACTGACGTGGTGCTGCTGGTGGAGGACAACGAGTTCCCCTGTCACAAGATGGTCCTGGCCACGTGCAGCTCCTATTTCAGGTGAGTTAACTCCATATTCACTAAGTAGTGCACTACTTTTGACCAGAGGGACAGGTCTAGGGGGTCCTACATAGCGCACTATACTGTCACATGCAGCTTGTATTCTAGGTGAGTCACTGTCCTGTTCAGCAGAATGTTCTGGACCACTACTACAGTACAGCGCCATACCTGAGCAGGCCTATCGGGGAAACCATTAAGTCACTCCTGGGTTGAGTCCCAAACGGCACCCTATTCCCTATATAGTGCACTACTGTTGACCTGGGCCCATAGTGAATAGGGTGCTGTTTGGGACACATCCATATGGTCTAATAGGGGTTGCTGTTTACTAAGGAATATAGAGGTGTGTGTGTGTGTGTGTTACTGTTTGTCCCTGAATGTCAGCTATTGCGTCTCCCTTCGCATCAGTTATTTTGCTATTAGTTACTGGTAGAACTCCCAAACAAAGGATGCAATTTTAACCGGTGGTTCAAGAAGTATCCCTTGGGTAGGCCCAGGGGCCTCGTTCAGAAGCACAACATTAGATGACTAAAGTGCTGCAGTGGATAGTGGAGTCCCAAATGGCACCCTATTCCCTATATAGTACACTACTTTTGACCATAGCCTTATGGGGAATAGGGTGCAACCTGGGACCAAGCTCTAGTGAAGCTCCTCTAGGAAGTAGAAAGGAAGAGCCTCTCCTGCTCGCTTGCTCTCTCTCACGCTCTCAACATTCAGCAGACACATTTACTGGCTGCTCTCTCCTCACACCCACCTATTCATCATGTCCCCACTGGTTCCCACGCACGCCAACTCGTTATCCGGTGACAACATGCAAAGCATTTCCCCTCTATGGTTCAGAGAGGTGTCCGCCTCTGGCTGTCTCTGGCTCACCCCCCTTCTCTCCTCGGTGCTTTCTGGCTCTCCCTCCTCCCCTCGCTGCAGGGAACGGGGAGCCTTGTCACGCACACAGAGCTGGGAAGGAAGGAAGGAGACCCGCAGGCAGGCAGAGCTGGGAAGGGGACCCGCAGGCAGGCAGAGCTGGGTAGGAAGGAAGGAGACCCGCAGGCAGGCAGAGCTGGGAAGGAGACCCGCAGGCAGGCAGAGCTGGGAAGGAGACCCGCAGGCAGGCAGAGCTGGGAAGGAGACCCGCAGGCAGGCAGAGCTGGGAAGGAGGGCGAGAGGGGTGGAGAAGGGGTTGAGCGAGGGAGGGAGACACGCAGGGGGATGCCTGCAACGTTGTGTAACATCCAGTCCATTGCCCTGGCAGACTGTGACAATTAGACCGACCACCACCTCTGTACACACTCACTCACACTCTCCAATGAGCCCTGGTCTAAAGTAGTGCACTAAATAGGGAAGACAGTGCCATTTTGGGATACAGAGAGGCACACCATGGATACACAGACCAGTATGAATGAGTGTGGTTGGTCTGCTGGTGAATGATGAAGTGGGGAGTGTAGGAGGAGGACAGGACTAGAAGATTCAGCTGTGTGGGTGTTGGGGAGGGCTGCGAGAGGGAGCGGGGGCTGGCTGGCTGGGGTGTTGGGGAGGGCTGCGAGAGGGAGCGGGGGAGCTGGCTGGCTGGGGTGTTGGGGAGGGCTGCGAGAGGGAACGGGGGAGCTGGCTGGCTGGGGTGTTGGGGAGGGCTGCGAGAGGGAGCGGGGGAGCTGGCTGGCTGGCTGGGGTGTTGGGGAGGGCTGCGAGAGGGAGCGGGGGAGCTGGCTGGCTGGGGTGTTGGGGAGGGCTGCGAGAGGGAGCTGGCTGGCTGGGGTGTTGGGGAGGGCTGCGAGAGGGAGCGGGGGAGCTGGCTGGCTGGGGTGTTGGGGAGGGCTGCGAGAGGGAGCTGGCTGGCTGGGGTGTTGGGGAGGGCTGCGAGAGGGAGCGGGGGAGCTGGCTGGCTGGGGTGTTGGGGAGGGCTGCGAGAGGGAGCTGGCTGGCTGGCTGGGGTGTTGGGGAGGGCTGCGAGTGGGAGCGGGGGAGCTGGCTGGCTGGGGTGTTGGGGAGGGCTGCGAGAGGGAGCGGGGGAGCTGGCTGGCTGGGGTGTTGGGGAGGGCTGCGAGTGGGAGCGGGGGAGCTGGCTGGCTGGGGTGTTGGGGAGGGCTGCGAGAGGGAGCGGGGGAGCTGGCTGGCTGGGGTGTTGGGGAGGGCTGCGAGAGGGAGCGGGGGAGCTGGCTGGCTGGGGTGTTGGGGAGGGCTGCGAGAGGGAGCGGGGGAGCTGGCTGGCTGGGGTGTTGGGGAGGGCTGCGAGAGGAAGCGGGGGAGCTGGCTGGCTGGGGTGTTGGGGAGGGCTGCGAGAGGGAGCGGGGGAGCTGGCTGGCTGGGGTGTTGGGGAGCTGGCTGGCTGGCTGGGGTGTTGGGGAGGGCTGCGAGAGGGAGCGGGGGAGCTGGCTGGCTGGGGTGTTGGGGAGGGCTGCGAGAGGGAGCGGGAGAGCTGGCTGGCTGGGGTGTTGGGGAGGGCTGCGAGAGGGAGCGGGAGCTGGCTGGCTGGGGTGTTGGGGAGGGCTGCGAGTGGGAGCGGGGGAGCTGGCTGGCTGGGGTGTTGGGGAGGGCTGCGAGAGGGAGCGGGGGAGCTGGCTGGCTGGGGTGTTGGGGAGGGCTGCGAGAGGGAGCGGGGGAGCTGGCTGGCTGGGGTGTTGGGGAGGGCTGCGAGAGGGAGCGGGAGAGCTGGCTGGCTGGGGTGTTGGGGAGGGCTGCGAGAGGGAGCGGGAGCTGGCTGGCTGGGGTGTTGGGGAGGGCTGCGAGAGGGGAGCGGGGGAGCTGGCTGGCTGGGGTGTTGGGGAGGGCTGCGAGAGGAAGCGGGGGAGCTGGCTGGCTGGGGTGTTGGGGAGGGCTGCGAGAGGGAGCGGGGGAGCTGGCTGGCTGGGGTGTTGGGGAGCTGGCTGGCTGGGGTGTAGGGGAGGGCTGCGAGAGGGAGCGGGGGAGCTGGCTGGCTGGGGTGTTGGGGAGGGCTGCGAGAGGGAGCGGGAGAGCTGGCTGGCTGGGGTGTTGGGGGAGGGCTGCGAGAGGGAGTGGGGGCTGGCTGGCTGGGTGTTGGGGAGGGCTGCGAGAGGGAGCGGGGGCTGGCTGGCTGGCTGGCTGGGGTGTTGGGGAGGGCTGCGAGAGGGAGCGGGGGCTGGCTGGCTGGGGTGTTGGGGAGGGCTGCGAGAGGGAGCGGGGGAGCTGGCTGGCTGGGTGTTGGGGAGGGCTGCGAGGGGGAGCTGGCTGGCTGGGTGTTGGGGAGGGCTGCGAGAGGGAGCGGGGGAGCTGGCTGGCTGGGGTGTTGGGGAGGGCTGCGAGAGGGAGCGGGGGAGCTGGCTGGCTGGGGTGTTGGGGAGGGCTGCGAGAGGGAGCGGGAGCTGGCTGGCTGGGGTGTTGGGGAGGGCTGCGAGAGGGAGCGGGGAGCTGGCTGGCTGGGGTGTTGGGGAGGGCTGCGAGAGGGAGCGGGGGAGCTGGCTGGCTGGGGTGTTGGGGAGGGCTGCGAGAGGGGAGCGGGGGAGCTGGCTGGCTGGGGTGTTGGGGAGGGCTGCGAGAGGGAGCGGGGGAGCTGGCTGGCTGGGGTGTTGTCTGAGAGAACATGCTGTGGTCTAGTCTAGTGCCTGAGAGAGTCCTACTGCTTGCTTCCCAAATGGCACCCTAATCCCTACATTGTACACTACTTTTGACCCAGAGCCCTATTGGTCATAGTAAAAATAATAGTGCACTATATAGGGACTAGGGTGACAGTGTGTTACCTTCCTTTTGACTGCTGCATCCTGGTGTTGGTGGTGGTCTGTCTGAGAGTAACTTTATCCTGTTATCCTCTACAGGGCCATGTTAATGAGGGGTCTGTCAGAGTAACGTTATCCTGTTATCCTCTACAGGGCCATGTTAATGAGGGGTCTGTCTGAGTAACTTTATCCTGTTATCCTCTACAGGGCCATGTTAATGAGGGGTCTGTCTGAGAGTAACTTTATCCTGTTATCCTCTACAGGGCCATGTTAATGAGGGGTCTGTCAGAGTAACTTTATCCTGTTATCCTCTACAGGGCCATGTTAATGAGGGGTCTGTCAGAGTAACTTTATCCTGTTATCCTCTACAGGGCCATGTTAATGAGGGGTCTGTCTGTCAGAGTAACTTTATCCTGTTATCCTCTACAGGGCCATGTTAATGAGGGGTCTGTCAGAGTAACTTTATCCTGTTATCCTCTACAGGGCCATGTTTATGAGGGGTCTGTCAGAGTAACTTTATCCTGTTATCCTCTACAGGGCCATGTTAATGAGGGGTCTGTCAGAGAGTAACTGTATCCTGTTATCCTCTACAGGGCCATGTTTATGAGTGGTCTGTCGGAGAGTAAACAGAGTCATGTTCACCTGAGGAACGTGGACCCAGCCACCCTGCAGATCATCATCACATATGCCTATACAGGCAACCTGGCTATTAACGACAACACCGTGGAGCCCCTGTACGAGACGGCATGCTTCCTCCAGGTAGGACACTACACACAGCATCGTGAAACCCCTGTACGAGACGGCATGCTTCCCCCAGGTAGGACACTACACACAGCATCGTGAAACCCCTGTACGAGACGGCATGCTTCCTCCAGGTAGGACACTACACACAGCATCGTGAAACCCCTGTACGAGACGGCATGCTTCCTCCAGGTAGGACACTACACACAGCATCGTGAAACCCCTGTACGAGACGGCATGCTTCCTCCAGGTAGGACACTACACACAGCATCGTGAAACCCCTGTACGAGACGGCATGCTTCCTCCAGGTAGGATACCAGTCTCCTATCCATCCCTCCTACCGCTGTGGGTCTCAACATTACTCTACCAATGTGAAGTTCTGATCTACAGAGGAAGACATATCCTATAGAGATTCGATACGTATCTAGATAGATGGGCTCCGATACGACACATGAACAATTACGTTTTAGGGATTAGGGGGGGGCAATGCAGCCTATGTTTTTCTGTCCCACCACTTTGGTTCTGAAATCACCAAAACCCACTAATTAGCACATTAAGTGATTGAGCTAGTAATGTATTATTATTTATTGTTTACAAATTAGCTATGACATAACCAATATATATATATATATATATATATCACAACTTTGATTTCACCCCATCTGGAAGTTTTTCTGGAGTGATCTTCTCCTCTCGCTTTGGCCATGCAGTGCGCCTCGCAAAAGTGATTGTTGTCCTCAATATGAAATTGTCAACTTTACCCTGTATATCTAAAAATGACCATATACACTGATAGTTTAAATCAAAACTATGGTGAACCTGAACAATGGAAATAAAATATATTTGTAATCCCCGTTCAGCAGGTATAGCCAGATGAGTTGTCTCCGGTAGCTGAACCAGCGATTCATAACATTTTTGAATTGATTTTCTGACCGATGCATGCTACGTTTGGATTGGTTTGGGGTCCGCAGACCGATGCACTTGTATCTTAAACGTTTGAATCATGTCTATCGGTGAATCGTTACATCCCCTAGTAACCTACTCATGACTTAATCACTGACCCTCCTATTTCTGATCAGTTGACTCGGAGCGTTACTGAACGACTGAGGAGTATGAATAGGACTAATGGACAGTGATTGATTATTCTTACTAACATAACCACAATGTTGATGTCTTGGTGGTTTTTCATACTGTGGTTGACTGGTTCTCTATAATACTTTTGCCATTTAAAAAAAATGCTCTCATCCAGTGACCTCATCCAACTAAGGTTAGTATTAATAATCCCCCCCCCTCCCCCCCCAAATACAGGTTGAGGACGTGCTCCTGCAGTGCAGGGATTACCTGGTGAAGAAGATCCACGCAGACAACTGTGTCCGGATGCTGAGCATCGGGGACCTGTTCTCCTGTGTGGAGCTGAAGCAGAGCGCAAAGCGCATGGTGGAACACAAGTTCTCCGTGGTCTACCGTCAGGAGGCCTTCCTACAGCTGTCCCATGAGCTGCTGGCCGACGTACTGAGCTCAGACAACCTCAACGTGGAGAAGGTGACTACCTTTTTTTATACTTTCTTCATATTGTTGGTTGTAAGTGTATTTTCTACGGACTGTCGTCGGTAAAGCATGGGTCTGTTCCAGAAAGCTGGATCAATGAGTTGGCCAGCTAACTGTCCAAAATGGTTTGAAATAACTTCATCATTTTGAGAAATATAGACTTGAAATTGGCATGGTATAATTGGCTTGAAGACAACAACCAAGAGTTAGCTTATATGTGGCTAACTTAAAGGGATACTTCAGGATTTTGGCAACGAGGCCCTTTATCTACTTCCCCAGAGTCGGATGAACTTGTAGATACCATTTGTATGTCTCTGTGTCCAGTATGAAGGAAGTTAGAGGTAGTTTGGCGTTAGCGCAATGACCTGTAATGCTAGCAGACACCCAGAGACTTCCAGTCATTGCGCTAACGGCAGTTAGCAATTGTGCTAGCGCTAGTTAGCAACTTCTTTCAAACTGCTCACAGAGATATAAAAATGGTGTCCACGATTTCATCAGACTCTGGGGAAGTAGATAAAGGGCCTCATTGCCAAAATCCCGAAGTATCCCTTTAATAGTCCTGCTTTCTGGAATACTCCCCAAATGACCGCCCCTGGGATGATAAACATTCTCTACTCTTCTCTCAGGAGGAGACGGTGAGAGAGGCAGCCATGCTGTGGCTTGAGTACAACATGGAGGCTAGGTCCCAGTACCTCTCTTCAGTGCTCAGCCAGATCCGCATCGACGCTCTGTCTGAGGTGACGCAGCGCGCCTGGTTCCAGGGCCTACCTCCTAACGATAAGTCTGTCGTGGTGCAGGGCCTCTACAAGTCCATGCCCAAGTTCTTCAAACCCCGCCTGGGGATGACCAAGGAGGAGATGCTCATCTTCATGGAGGCTACGTCAGAGTCGCCGGCTGACACGGGTCAGGTGACGGCGGGCCCCAACCACACGGTGGTGTGTTACAGCCCGCAGGCCGAGAAGGTCTACAAGCTCAGCAACCCGCCCGGCGACCTCCAGAAGGTGGGAACGCTCGTCACCCCCGACAACGACGTGTTCATCGCCGGCGGGCAGATCCCGCTGAAGAACTCGATCGCCAACCACAGGAAGAGTGGTAGCAAGATACAGGCAGTGTTCCGATCGGTGGACAGCTTCTTCTGGTTCGACGCCCAGCAGAACGCCTGGGTGCCCAAGACGCCCATGCTGTGTGCCCGCATCAAGCCCTCGCTGGTCTACTGCGAGGGGTACATCTACGCCATCGGGGGGGACAACGTGGGCGGGGAGCTGAATAAACGTACCGTGGAACGCTACGACTGTGAGAAAGACGAGTGGGCCATGATGTCTCCTCTCCCCTGCGCCTGGAACTGGACCACGTCCGTAGCAGCCCACGACTGTGTCTACGTAATGACCCACGACCTCATGTACTGCTACTTCCCCCGCGCTGACACCTGGGTAGAGATGGCCATGAGGAAAACAAGTCGCTGCTTCGCCTCCGCCGCCGCCTTCGGTGACCTCATCTTCTACATCGGAGGGCTCCACGTGGTCAGCAACTCCGGTGTCCGCATGCCTACCAGCACCATCGATGGCTCCTCGGTCACCGTGGAGATCTATGACGTCAGCAAGAACGAGTGGCGCCTGGCCGCCAACATCCCTGCCAAGCGTTACTCGGACCCGTGCGTGCGGGCCGTGGTCCTCCTGGGCTCTCTCTGCATCTTCATGCGCGAGACTCACATGAATGAGCGCGCCAAGTACGCCATCTACCAGTACGATCTGGAGCTGGACCGCTGGTACCTGAGGCAGCCTGTTTCTGAGCGCGTGCTCTGGGACCTGGGGAAGGACTTCCGTTGCGCCGTGGGGAAGCTGTACCCATCCTGTCTGGAGGAGTCCCCATGGAAACCACCCACCTACCTGTTCTCCCCCGACGGGGCCGAGGAGTTTGAGGTGGACGGGGAGATGGTGTCTCTCCCTCATATATAGCTCTTAACCTTTCACCTCTGAACTCTGGATGTGACATGTTAGAGGGTGGAGGGATGCCCCTGAAGTCCAGGGGGGTTGGAGGAGTAGAGTACCACAGTACTGAGAAACTAAACGGTTTGGTATCTGACAGCTACTAGGCTTGCTGCATTTAAAGGCTGTTCTGCCTGGCTGGCTGTTGCTGACAAACAAACAATATTCAAAATGGAGGAGACAAATGGAAGAACTAGTTGCCAGTTGCAACTTCAAAAAATAACAAGTCTGTTTCAACAATGTGATAATCAAAAGTCAACTGATATGTGATGATGATGCACTTACTGGGGAAAATGTCCTTGGAATTCCGATGGAAACTGTACCAAAATCCCCCCCCCCCCCCCGGTCTCCACCTCTTTCCTTTCTCTCACCACTGTTTTGAATCCACATCCATGTCTTTCCTAGGGACACCTGGCTTGTGTCCCAAACGGCTCTCTGTTCCCTGTGTGTAGGGCACTGCCCTATAGGCTCTGGCCAAAAAGAAGTGCGCTTTATATGGCATAGGGTGCCATTTTGGGGCGCAGCTGGTATTGGAACATCCAGGGCCGAGCGTTGGGTTGGGCAGTACGGAGGTCTGAGGTCATAGCAGTGGGAACGGGGAGGTGTGGGAGAGGTTCTAGATGGTGACTGCAGGTCCGGTCACTAGTCATCTCTCTACCTCTCTGTCCCAGACATCCCCCTGGTGCACTACCACCCCTCTAGCCTGTCTCTTAGGCTGTGTCCCAAATGGCACCCGATAGAGTGTACTACTTTTGACCAGGGGCCCATAGGGCAGCTGTACGCTTGTTGAGCTCGCCCATAGGGCTCTGGTCAAAAGTAGTACACTCTATAGGGTGCCGTTATGGACGCGTTCTTAGTCAATCTCTCTGGACACAGGTCTTCCACACAGCCGGCCGGCAGTTTACAGAACAGAGCTAACACTAGCTGACCTCTGTCTCAGCATAGTGATAGGAGGATTTATGCCGGCGCTCTTCTCTCTCCTTTGTTTTTTTTTTTTTTTTACAAGCGCGGGTCTCCGCAACACACCTCTCTCTCTCTCTCTCTCTCTCTCGCTCTCTCAGTACTATCAACAACACACACTCGTCACCCAGCGCAGGACGAGCAACAAACACCCACGCGCGTGCACGCGCGAGCGCAGGACGAGCAACAACACCCACCGCGGGCACGCGCGAGCGCAGGACGAGACAAAAACCCACCGCGGGCACGCGCGAGCCAGGACAGCAAAAACACACACGCGGGCACGCGCGAGCGCAGGACATCAACAACACCCACCGGGGCACGCGCGAGCGCAGGACGAGCAACAACACCCACCGCGTGCACGCGCGACGCAGGACGAGCAACAACACCCACCGCGGGCACGCGCGAGCGCAGGAGAGCAACAACACCCACCTCGGCACGCGCGAGCGCAGGACGATCAACAACACACACCGCGGTGCACGCGCTGAGTCCAGGACGATCAACAACACCACCCTGTCACTGCTATCGCAGGTACGATCAACAACACACACCGCCGCACCGCATCAGTACTATCAACAACACACACCTCTTTCACTCTCTATCTCAGTACTATCAACAACACCCACCTCTTTCACTCTCTATCTCAGTACTATCAACAACACCCACCTCTTTCACTCTCTATCTCAGTACTATCAACAACACACACCTCTTTCACTCTCTATCTCAGTACTATCAAACAACAACACAACCATCCTTCACTCTCTTATCCAGTACTATCAACAACACCCACCTCCTTCACTCTCTATCTCAGTACTATCAACAACACCCACCTCCTTCACTCTCTATCTCAGTACTATCAACAACACCCACCTCCTTCACTCTATCAGTACTATCAACTATTGATTTTTTGGGCTCATGCATTTTTATTTCCAAGCTGCTGAAATATATAAATATACAAAAATATATATTTTTCATATGTTTAAAAAAAGACAAACCGTTTTAGTGTGGGGGAAAATAACCAGGTTCTATTTTGTATTAGTGTATTTAATATCAGACATTACTGTAGTGCGATTATGTATAGGTATCCATTCCCCCCCCCCCCCCCCCCCTTATCCAATTTTACATTTTCTTGTGAGTGACATTTTGAGGAATCTTGCTGCTGATTGGGTCTGAGAAGGAAAGAGAGGGCTGGCCCAGGGCTGTTGCTATGGGAATTGTCCCAGCAACCACTAGCAGTAGTGGAGACAGAACTAAATGGGGGGGTGGGGTGGTTGGGGAGGGAGGAAGGAGCGGACGAAGCTGCGTCCTGGTTCCTACTTTAAAAACATGAGCACAGGTGCTTCATGCAAACCTTACTAGCATGTTTGGCTGCATCATGTTCCTTTGGCACTGTATTTTGAATGAACGTTAATTTATTAAAAAACATACCAAAACGTTTTCAAAAACGACTCGTTATTTTCACATGATGGATTGAATGTGTTGAAGCACACTTGATTTGTCACAATGTATTTGTTATACTAGTCAACTATCTTGCCAGCATTAGTTACTGAGCATATTGCTGAGTCGATGTTCTTAATCATGTGTTTGGATAAACTGGGTGATCTGAAAAGTCATAGTCAATCGATCAATAATATAATAATACTTATAGCAAAAATGTTTTTTCAATTCACAAACTGTAGAAACAATGAGAATAGAAAGGTTCAGAACTTTTGTAAAACATCACAGTACAGTTGAAAGATATATGGCAAATAGAAATCCAATATGGATGGTGTTAAGAGATAGATGGGAGGTGTTGAATGGAGCTGAAGGATGGGACTAATAACAACAAGATAACTAATATAAAGCATACTGTGTCCATAATAAGTATATAGGTTATATATTGTGAGCTTTTGTGAAAGGGCACAGTTAGAAAGATATGGCATATAGAAGCAAACCGGATGGACATCATGAAAATGATCGGAGGAAGTTCAGGAGTAAAAACAAACAAAATATAATTATTGACTGTGTCCATAAAATGTATAAGCATGAAGTAGAGGCCTAAGCATTGTTGTTCACTAGTTTACTCCAATTAGGGAAGGGATGGTGGGGTTGGAAAGTAATAAAGGGAAATATATTTTTAAAGGATATGTATGTATATATGTGTGTATGTATGTATATGTGAGAAAGAAAACATGGGGGATTGAAGTGATGCAGACAATTACATTGATGGAAGTTACAATCTATCTGCAATATTAAAGCTGATCTACCCCCTTGGGGAAAAAAAAAAAAAAAGGGTTTGGGTAAAACAAAAAGGGTTTGGTTTCATGTTAAATGACCTATTAACGTGTTAAGTTTGATCGAGCCTGTGTGTCGGACAGCCTATGGACCTGTTATCCATATTATGCCTGTTGTCTGTCGCAACGTTTTTTTCCCATCTCATGTTGACTGACACCCACCAGATAGCATCCATCCACCCAGGCAGGTCCTCTTGTCAGTACCACTTCTGTATTGCTGTCTGCATTCCAAATGAAAACCCTATTACCTATCGGGCTCTGGTCAAAAGTAGTGCGCTCTCCAACTCCGTTCCTGGAGAGCTACTGTCCTGCAGGTTTTCGCTCCAACCCTAATCTAGAGCACCTGATTGTAATAATTAGCTGGTTGATAGCTGAATCAGGTTAGTCCCCTGTAGCTCAGTTGGTAGAGCATGGCGCTTGCAACGCCAGGGTTGTGGGTTCGTTTCCCACGGGGGGGCCAGTATGAAAATGTATGTACTCACTTAATTGAAAGTCGCTCTGGATAAGAGCGTCTGCTAAAATGACAAAAATTGTAAATGTAAAAATGTTAGTTACAACTGGGGTGGAAATGAAATCCTACAAGGGGATAGGATGACCTTTGGGCTTCAGTGGTTGCATCCCAAATGGAACACTATTACCAACGTAGTGCACTGCTTTTGTCCAGAGCACTGAGGGTAGTAGTGGCCTATGGGCCCGATTCAGACTTAGGAAAGTTACCCCTTCCCTTCACACTTCTCAGTAGTTGGTATTCATACATATACAAACATTTTTGGATACCCCTTCAAATTAGTGGATTGGGCTATTTCAGCCACACCCGTTGCTGACAGGTGTATAAAATTGAGCACACGGCCATGCAATCCCCATAGACAAACATTGGCAGTAGAATGGCCTTACTGAAAAGCTCAGTGACTTTCAACATGGCACCGTCATAGGATGCCACCTTTCCAACAAGTCAGTTCGTCAAAATTTCTTGCCCTGCTAGAGCTGCCCCAGTCAACTGTAAGTGCTGTTACTGTGAAGTGGAAACGTCTAGGAGCAACAACGGCTCAGCCACGAAGTGGTAGGCCACACAAGTTCACAGAACAGGACCGCCGAGTGCTGAAGTGCATAAAAATCGTCTGTCCTCGGTTGCAACACTCACTACCGAGTTCCAAACTGCTTCTGGAAGCAACGTCAGCACAATAACTGTTCGTCAGGAGCTTCATGAAATGGGTTTCCATGGCCGAGCAGCCGCACACAAGCCTAAGATCACCATGCGCAATGCCAAGCGTCGGCTGGAGTGGTGTAAAGCTCGCCGCCATTGGACTCTGGAGCAGTGGAAACGCGTTCTCTCGAGTGATGAATCATGCTTCACCATCTGGCAGTCTGACGGACAAATCTGGGTTTGTCGTATGCCAGGAGAACGCTACCTGCCCCAATGCATAGTGCCAACTGTAAAGTTTGGTGGAGAAGGAATAATGGTCTGGGGCTGTTTTTCATGGTTCGGGCTAGGCCCCTTAGTTCCAGTGAAGGGAAATCTTAACTCTACAGCATACAATGACATTCTAGACGATTATGTGCTTCCAAATATGTGGCAACAGTTTGGGGAAGGCCCTTTCCTGTTTCAGCATGACAATGCCCCTGTGCACAAAGCGAGGTTCATACAGAAATGGTTTGTCGAGATCGGTGTGGAAAAACTTGACTGGCCTGCACAGAGCCCTGACTTCAACCCCATCGAACACCTTTGGGATGAATTGGAGCGCCGACTGCGAGCCAGGCCTAATCGCCCAACATCAGTGCCCGACCTCACTAATGCTCTTGTGGCTGAATGGAAGCAAGTCCCCGCAGAAATGTTCCAACATCTAGTGGAAAGCATTACCAGAAGAGTGGAGGCTGTTATAGCAGCAAAGGGGAGACCAACTCCGTATTAATGGCCGTGATTTTGGAATGAGATGTTCGACGAGCAGGTGTCCACATACTTTTGACAGGCTTTGCAGGTGTTGTTTCCTTGTTCCTGAATACATTTAATTCAACTGCTGAAAACCCTCCCACTTGCTGGCCAACAGATTTCTCATGCAGTTTTCATTACATATATCTAAAGCCATCCCTTTAAATGTGGTGTAC